TCCACAATTATCCATTCTTTCCTAAAGAATCCTCCTAAAATCCTAAGCTACTTCCCTATAACTATCAACAGAATCCCTCTCATAACAGTATACTGCCACACTAAGATACTTCCTAGGTATTCTTAGGATTTCCACATCCACCACTCAAGCGCTGGAAGGTTCTTGCTGATGCTGATAAGTCGCTTCGTGAATTCAAGTCATGCATATCCAGGATAAGACAGTTATTAGAGTATATATGTACCTTAAAGCCTACATCAAACAAGAACATGTAATAAAGCTGAATCAAAAATTCTAAGGCTATCTACTCCTAGACACACACCATAGTAAAGCATTCTGTTGGAATATTAGAGTTGTAGATCGATAGATTCCAAACAGAAAAACAATATTTAATCAAGCAAAGAACACGAGAATGGATCAATGATGTCGAATGATTAATAACTCACACCTCAGAAGAGCTCGATGAAGAACTTCGACTATAGAGGTATGCTAGGGTTACAATGCAAAGTAATTAATGAGAACGATCAATCTAAAAGCTATACATGCATGCAATATTTATATGCTAACCCTAATTTTTATCCACGGTTGGACAGGCGCAAACCGGGTAAATTAAATGGACTTATGACCGAGCCCAAAGACGCAACACCAGACCCAACAATCTCCCCCTTTGCGTCAATTGAGGCGAGAGACTACTTCGGTTGAGTGACCTTGTTCTTCTTTACAACCTTGAACAACCGAGGGATGATCGCAAGAAGCGTTTGTCGAAACTGAATGTACAACCGAAGCATATCAGTGAACAACTTCTTATCAGCTTCACTGTTCTGATTACACCTATGTATGATCTCCAAAATGTGCTCCAAACAGGAAGTGGAAAATAGGTGTTTGTCAATCAGAGCGAACAAATTTTTTTTTTCCTTCGCTTCTCCTGAACAAAACAGTGTGAAATTTAGGATCAATATTTCCCCTAACCATTGCATTCATATCACTTGCCCACCACATCGGCTTCATAGTGGTCTTCTTGTGAATAGCAGAAGCGATCTCCGGATCCATCTTCGCGACCTCATGAATATAACAAACGAGCATTCGCTTGATGTGATCAATGATTGGCTGATACTCTTGTGGATTGGTCAGCAAAATATTATTAAGGAGTATCCAGTCGTGAGGGTTCAAGTTCGGCAGGTCAGCCAGGGAAATCATATGAACCGAGCTATCAGAGCCTCGGGTCACTTTGAATTTAATGTTGATGAATTTCCCTGCCGAAGTGGGCTTCAACACCTTGACCGTTGTGATTTTCTGAGTGCTCCAGGTCATGTATTGTGACTGAGCAAACTCAAGATAATACTCTAGAAAATCCCGATCTACCTTCGAGTCTTGAGAAGGAATGCCAGCCGTCGACTCAAAACAGTAAAAAAATAAATGCCTTTCGGGTTATTGGCATATCAAACTGTGAGTCCTTCGAGTTCTTAAGCCCGAACTCTATGAAACCGGTTCGAGCCAATGAGTGCTCGGTGCATCAATAACCTCCCTGAGAAGCGATTCCATAGTCCATTAAGGAAACATGGACTTCTTCTGCTCTAGCAGCTCATTGGCTTTCAACTCCTTCTCAAGAAGTTCCTTCTCTTTCTGAACCTTATCCCGAATCTCTTGATCAGTAGGCTTGATTTTCTGATCAAGTTTAGAAGCATTCCTTTCAGTATTTTCTTCCATATCATCATCATCATCATCATCATCATCTTCTCCAATCTTCTTCTTTCTTCTGTCCCTCATACTGCCCGAAGCTTCATTACCCTTCGGCTCAGTAGTGACATTCGGTTTTGGAGGGGGTTGAGATTGAGAAACCTTATCTCCCCCTTGTTTAGGATGGACACCAGTCTCCGGAACACCTTCAATGCGAATCAAGACATCCAATGCAGGTCTTAGCTTTTCAGCCAAGTGATGTCGAATGGAGATAGTCAGAATGGAGTCGTGAGCTTCCAGTAGATGTAAGAGAATGGAATGCACATCTCCAACCGAGCTTTTAATCACCTCTCGCTCAGATTTTAAATCTTCAATCTCTTTGGTGGCATTTCTGAGCTTGAGATTCTGGATTTTCAGCTGTGAAGTTCGCTTATCCAGCTCATCCATAATTTTTTTTCAACAGCAAGCTATCCTGCAAGTTGAGTCAGCTGATCATCAATGTTAGTATGAAGATCTTGGTTAGCAGCCTCAATTGCTTTACGAGCTGCTTCAAAAATTTTCTTCTCTGCCTCCAGTGAACGCGTAAGATTATCAACGGAGTCATTCACTGTTTGAGCATTTTTCTGAGCTGCTTCTTGAAGAGAATCCAGAAAGAGTTGGACTTATGAAACTAGTTTTTCGACTTTTGCGGTCGCATCCTTGCAATCTTTGGTGGAAGCTTCAACGGCAAGAGAAGATTTATGGCATGTTGAAGTTGAGGCGTCAATAGCTTTGGTAGCATTGGAGATGGAGGCCTCATGATCTTTGACAACTGATGAGAACAGAGCTTTAAGAGCAACCTCTAAATATGCACCAGTAGAAGACGAAGAAATCAATTGATCAAGCTTTTCCGTGACAGCCTTGAGATGCTTTTTGGTAATTGGGGCGTCATCATCGTCATCGCTTTGTACGCGATAAGGACTGAAATAAGTGGAATCGAATTCCAATCTTCACCGCCAAGAACAGGTTCAGGTGATGTAGGTGGGGTTAAAGGAGTTGAGGTAACAGGTGGAGTAGAACCGACAGTGGATGCCCCCATATCAGATACGTTGACATGAACTGTAGGTTCAGGTGTAGGAGTGGTTGTGGTAGTAATAGAGTTTGACAATGATGGAGTCTGAAAAGAAAGAGCCAAGGAATCTTATGAAGCTTCTCGAGAAATCTACAGGATTCTATGGAGTAATAGAGTTTGACAATGATGGAGTTCCACCTTTACATCCAGAAGAAACCCAGAATTGTTGGAGCCTAGTGGCACTAACATTAACTGCCATTGCTCTTGCGCTTCCGAATATTGCAAACTGCCATGTCAAGGGGTTGCTTTCAAGTATGAAAGAAGGTCTCCAATTTGTAAGACATATCGAAGAAAGCCTCAATGCAAACGAAGAGTTGGTAAAGGCAAGAGAAGCAGCTAGACATGTGTGGACAGACGTTGAAGTATACTGCAAGTGGCTAGAAATTGATCTTCAAAAGAAGGCACGTAAAGGCGAAACATCACAGAAAATTCTTGAATGGTTGGGTGAGGAAGCAGTGAATATTGTCATACAGTTCAAGACAAGGAAGAATATTAGTCTGGATCACTCACGTTGTGAGTTCATTGCTGCAAGTTCTATGTACCGGATCAGCCAAACTATACTGCTTCACTGCCATGAGCAAGAAAATTGGCTAACAGATGAAGAACTTTTTGAGTGGATATCAACCATAATCGCAGATCTGCTATGTGCTTGCTTACCAACTTCCCACATGTCATAACCATGAAGTGTCATGACGATGCAATAGAGAAAAGGGAAGATAACATCAGAACTGCAGCTCAGCTTCTTGGTAGATCCAAAAAGATCCTGAAAATGCTTAAAAAACGTCAACTTCCCAACTTAGACATGGAATCGATGGGGTACATTGATAAGTGGCATGCAATACCAAAGAGTCAGATACCGAATGGTTCAGCCAAGATTCATTCAGCTCCTTCAAGTTCTAATGAATCTTTGGTAATAACTATTATTTGAAAAGTGTGTGGGTCTACTAATTGTGTACTCAATAAATCTTCCTAGGCTTCTTATCGTTTAGCATATATATCTAGAATTAAGTCATCATTAGTTTGGCACTTGTTACTAATCTCATTAGTGTGATTTGCATCAAATCTTCTGGCTTTCAGGATTCTCATGTTCATATGGTTTTTGTTTTTCTCATTCTTTCTTGAAAAAGAAATTATGGTTTATATTTATTGTGAATGCTGAATTTCCGTATACTTTGATTTAAGGATGTGTACGGTCATGCATTCGCCTTGCCACAGTCCTCTGAAGTACCTGAAATAAAACTAAAACTGTAAGCCAACGCTTAGTGAGTTCCCCCAAAGTACCACCACATAAACATAACAAACAGCAGCATGCAAACATGAGCAGCCAGCTTGACTGGACCGCCTCGCAGGGCCTTCAGCCAATCTGAACCGCTTTATGGGTCGTCGGTCTGATTGGACCGCCTTGTTGGGCCTACAGCCTATTCGGTCGTCCCTGGATGTCTTGGCCTACAACACAAAGCAGGACCGCCTCAACCCAAACCAACACGTTGACATATGCAACAAACAACATGAACACAAGGACGGCAAATACAGATTATCATACGGATCTAACAGATCAAAATAGTATAACAACATATAGTAATCAGGATATCAATCCAATGGGCGCCTTGGTGCCTTCGACCCCTAAGTATAGTTAGGAAAACTCACCTCACAGTCTGATGAATATCTGATCACTACTCTGCTCCCAAATATCGGTTCAACCCAAATCCTAAATGTCAAAACATTTCCATTCTAAATTAATAAACATTTCCCCATAGATACCCTTGGTCAAAGCTGGTCAAAATCAACAAGTCAACCGAGTCAACACAGCCGAGTCAACTCATCCGAGTTGACTCGGGCTTCATACGTAGGGCATACTCCGGAGGTACGTGGGGCGTACAAGTTGTCCGAGGCATCGGGGTCAGATCTACGTACACGCAGCAACGTACCCTTCGATACACCCAGCGTACGCAGCAGCCCCCCTCTTAGCCTATTAAGTGCTTATTCCATCGACTTAACACGTCCCATAGCAGATCCAAGGCTATAATACCATCAAGAGTCATAAAGTTTCCAACTTTATGACTTTGCATGTCCATTAAGTTCTTAAAACACAAAATCTCAACATAATCTTAATGCATTAAGACCTTCTATAGCATGCATGGAGTAAAACTAACCATCAAGACCACATTTTTATGACTTAAGACCCCCCATAAGGTCTAAAAGGACGACTTATTGATCAAGAACATGCCATGCTCAAGAATCACTATGGTTGGGACAAAAAGTGCTCTAAAGGAACAAATGGCTAGATCTACAAGATAGAGTGATCAAGTTCTGAACTTTTTACCTTCAAGTGGTTGCTAGCAAGTGAGGAATCCTAGATCTAAGTTGCTTCAATGCTTCAAGGTTCTTGCACCAACTTCTCCTTCTTCAAGAACACCAAAAAGGGACAAATGAGCTCAAAACACTCTTCTCAATTAGGGTTTGCTAGAGGGTCGAAATCTCAGATGGGGGCTGATGAGAGAATGATAAATGAGGCTATAATGGTGTTTATATATGGACCAAACCCTAAAAATTAGGGTTTGGAGTTTCTCCACGTATGCCCAACGTATTAGGGTCCGCCCTAGTACGATCAGCATACACAATGTATGCCCATCATACTACCCCAATGTCCAAAATTACAAAAATGCCACTATGGGCCATTTTGTACTCTTTCATAAACTCAGAGACTAAAATGCAATCTTTATTCTTACATAGGGTTAAATTGAAAATAACTCAACATCGGGATGTTACAACACGCCTATTAATCTTCGAAGCTAACTTGCAAACTTCTTCAAAAGACCAGTAAGGTTGCAATTCTAGTTTTTTCATGAATGTCATGGTTCAGTCCGCCAACATAACGAGACATAGTTTGTTCTGGTTTCTCATGAATTCCACTCCTTAACACAAGTTGTTTAAATTCATGAGTGTAGTCATCAATACTAAGATTACCTTGTTTGATGTTGGTCATCTTGATGTAGAGATCTTGCTTGTATGAATCTGGAAGGAATCTTTCCTTGAGTAATTTCTTGAGATGTCTCCAAGACCAAATCTTAGACTTGCCACTTCGTTCTCTTTTAGCTTTCACATTCTCCCACCATAATGAGACATACTTCTTAAGTTTCAAAGCAAGCAACATTGTAACTTTTTTCATCAGAATATCCCTTGACATCGAAAAGGTTCTCGATATCATTCAACCATTCAATAAAATCATCTGAATTTGATCCTCCATAGAACTCCGAAGCATATGCTTTGACATATCTAAGATCATCTCTAAAACTTCTTCTATCATATTCATCCGAACTAGAATCATCAGAGCCGGTTGAATCACCACTAGAATTATCAGAGCCGGTTGAATCACCACTAGAATAATCTTCTAAAGAAAGACCGGAAGTTGCAATCAGTCAAAAGACAATTAAGGAAGCATAAAAAACATTAATTAGCTGATTAGGAAGACTTTTCAACTCCATTAGGCTGCTAGAAAATTATACTTCTCCATTTATCTGTTTTGAACCCAAAACAAAATTCTGATTCAAGCCCAAGGTGAGTTGGAGACATGAAATGGGCTGCTTTAGTACTAGCTGAAAATGACGTGGATGCCCCAGCATCAGTTCTAAAATCCAATGTACCTTACTCTCCTTAATAATCCGGTCAACAGAAGTCAAACCCATGTGAATACTAAATTTGTTAATAGAGTTAGTCGGACAGGTCATGTTCTAAAATCCAAAGTTAAGGACCATTCGTGCATGGAAAACTTTCATAAGGGCCGTTTGAATGAAATTTTTTAAACCACAAGGACAAACCATGAAATTTAGTCTATAATAATAATAAAAGACAAAATAATGATAAGAAGACAAATTATGGGTGGCTGTTAACCTTAACCACCCTGGACCAATTCCAAAATCGTTATGAAGCATCAAAATAAGGACCAAAATTGCAACCCAATTACTTTTGGGACCAAAACCGGAAAAAAAAGCTAAAATCAGGTACCAAAAATGTAATTTACTAAACCAAAATAAACAGGGATAACTTTATAATAAAGTCTATATCGTTATAGCTTTATGAGATAAAAGAATAGATATATTCTAAAACTCGCTGTTTCAAATGATGCGCAATGGACCAAGGTTTTGTTATTATTCTTATTACTATCCATCAATTAATTGGATCATTTTCTTAACAAGAAATTTCAACCATTCGAAATTAATGCGTTTATTTTAGGGCCAAGCTATAGCAACATTATGCGTTTACTTTGAGTCAAGCCTTGGATACATATGTTGGTATCTGGATACATCAATAACTGTCAAGCCATAGAGAAGGAAAGGAGACAAAAGTACACAAACAGGATAAAATGGAAATAGAATTCTTAACCACTGATTCCTGGAAATATCTTTGTTTGATCCATATTCTCCTTGATCAAATAAAAATCTTTCTTGAAGTCCTATGTATATATATGAAGCATCAGTTAGCTCTTGTATTGCTAGATCAAGTTAACACTTCATTTTCTCTGGTCTAGCAAGATGGCATGGACATCTCCAGAAGAAGCCATGCCATGGGTGGGATTAAATATTTGTGCAGCATCTCTGGTTTGCACTCTAGCAATGGCAGCCGATGTCTTCCGAGGCTTTCAACAATGGAAGCTCTGGTTTCCATGCAGATTTTTTACCATTAATTCTGTTTCCATTACACTGATAGCAATATCAATGAAGCTATCAGTGGATCTAAGCACCACCCTAGCTGATGATCAAGACATTGGAGCAAAGTATGTAAGCATTATTTTCTTGGTCACCATGTTAGCCAACTTTCTCCCATCTTTAGGGCTTATGAATGACAAGGAACTTCTGCTGAATACCGTAGCCTTGAGTATCCTCATACTCACCATTAATGTAAATATATGGATCCAGGATATTAGTTCTTGGTTGATGGTGGTAAGCCTGATAACAATGCCTTTATTAATTCTTTTAATTCCATTGCCAATTTCGGTAGCTTTGACAGTTTCAGCATCTAGAAGAGTTTTACAACAACGGTACAAGGAGTTGCACAGTTTGGCTTCTAATCATCAACCGATAAAATTCTCCATCAAGGAACTCAGACGCATTGTTAAAAAGTATTGGATGATGGCAGACACCGGTAACCCCCAATTTGCAATTGCCTGTTCACCCATCTCTTCTACTTTGGGGGTTATATGCTCACTGTTTGCTTTCATTTCTGTTGTTATTTTGGTTTTTGGTAGATCAGATTTTCCGAATGAGGAATCACATTATAAGTGGTTAATCAATGTGATTATTGTTTTGCAATCAATTGGGGCAATAATAGGTAGTACAGCACCAATTTTCAGATGTTTGACTGCCACCAGTCATTCCATCCTCTCTATGAAATAGAGCAGGCACCACCTACAACGTGTTCCGAGTCGAGAAATGTTGGATTCAAAGGCTTCAGCTTTGGAAAAACAGCCCTGTCCCTACACATATCCCAGGCCGCCATTGCAAGAAGGTTTTCCATAATATTCGAAATATGATTTTGAACTTATGTATAGCACTTCAGATAACGATTGTAGTTATATGTAAAACAATATGTCTTCGTTCCCAGATCATTTCTGATCTTATTCTCTTATTGTTACCATTTTGGCAAGTCTTCCTTGAAAAGGTTTAAGGAAGAACCAAATGCATCTAACAGCAATGTGATATCAGATATGGAAGAATATACCGGTTATGTCCTGCAAATTGAACAGGATGCGAAGCTTTCAAAGAGAATATTACGAAATGCGCTCAACTCTATAACTCGACTTCTTCAAGAGTCTGAAAAGAAAGAGCCAAGGAATCTTATGAAGCTTCTCGAGAAATCTACAGGATTCTATGGAGTAATAGAGTTTGACAATGATGGAGTTCCACATTTACATCCAGAAGAAACCTAGAACTGCTGGAGCCTAGTCGCACTAACATTAATTGCCATTGCTCTTGCGCTTCCGAATATTGCAAACTGCCATGTCAAGGGGTTACTTTCAAGTATGAAGGAAGGTCTTCAATTTGTAAGACATATCGAAGAAAGCCTCAATGTAAATGAAGAATTGGTAAAGGCAAGAGAAGCAGCTAGACACATGTGGACAGACGTTGAAGTATACTGCAAGTGGCTACAAATTGATATTCAAAAGAAGGCTCGTAAAGGAAAAACATCAAAGGAGATTCTTCAATGGTTGGGTGATGAAGCAGCAAAATTGTGATACAAGTCAAGGCAAAAAAACATGTAAGTCTGGATCACTCACGTTGTGAGTTCATTGCTGCAAGTTCTATGTACAAGATCAGCCAAACCATACTGCTTCACTGGAATGAGCAAGAAAATTGGCCAACGGATGAAGAACTCTTTGAGTTGATATCAACCATAATCACAGATCTGCTATGTGCTTGCTTTACCAACTTGCCACATGTCATAACCATGAAGTGTCATGATGATGCAATAGAGAAAAGGGAAGATAGCAACAGAACCGCAGCTCAGCTTGTTGGTAGATCCAAAAAGATCCTGAAAATGCTTAAAAAACGTCAACTTCCCAACTTAGACATGGAATCGATGAGGGTACATTGATAAGTAGCATGCAATACCAAAGAGTCAGATACCGAATGGTTCAGCCAAGATTCATTCAGCTCCTTCAAGTTCTAATAAGTCTTTGGTAATAACTATTATTTGAAAAGTGTGTGGGTCTACTAATAGTGTACTCAATAAATCTTCCTAGGCTTCTTATCGTTTAGCATATATATCTAGAATTAAGTCATTATTAGTTTGGTACTTGTTACCAAATCTCATTAGTCTGATTTGCATCAAATCTTCTGGCTTTTAGGATTCTCATGTTCTTATGTTTTTGTTTTTTCTCATTCTTTTTTGAAAAGAGAAATTGTGGTTTATATTTATTGTGAAAGCCGAATTTCCGTGTACTTTGATTTAAGGATGTGTACGGTCATGTCTTCGCCTTGCCACAGTCCTCTGAAGTACCTGAAACAAAACTAAAATTGTAAGCCAACGCTTAGTGGGTTTCCCCAAAGTACCACCACATAAACATAACAAACAACAGCATGCAAACATGAGCAGCCAGCCTGGACCGTCTCGCAGGGCCTTCAGCCTATCCGAACCGCTCTATGGGTCGTCGGTCTGACTGGACCACCATGTTGGGCCTACAGTCTATCCATTCGTCCCCGGATGTCTTGGCCTACAACACAAAGCAGGACCAGTTCAACCCAAACCAACACGCCGACATATGCAACAAACAACATGAACACAAAAACAACAAATACAGATAATCATACGGATCTAACGGATCACAACAGTATAACAACATATAGTAACCATGATATCAATCCAATGGGCCAGCCTTGGTGCCTTCGACCCGTAAGTATAGTTAGGAAAACTCACCTCATAGTCTGATGAATATTTGATCAATACTCTGCTCCCAAATATCAGCTCAACCCAAATCCTAAATGTCAAAATATTTTCATTCTAAATTAATAACATTTCCCCATTAATACCCTTGGTCAAAGCTGGTCAAAGTCAACAAGTCAACCGAGTCAACACAGTCGAGTTGACTCGGTCTTCATACGTACGGCGTACTCCGGAGGTACGTGGGGCGTACAAGTTGTCTGAGGCATCGGGGCCAGATCTACGTACACGTAGCGTACCCTTCTGTACACCCCCCCTCTTAGCCTATTAAGTGATTATTCCATCGACTTAACACGTCCCATAGCAGATCCAAGGCTATAATACCATCAAGAGTCATAAAGTTTCCAACTTTATGACTTTGCATGTCCATTAAGTTCTTAAAACACAAAATCTCAACATAATCTTAATGCATTAAGACCTTCTATAGCATGCATGGAGTAAAACTAACCATCAAGACCACATTTTTATGACTTAAGACCCCCCATAAGGTCTGAAAGGACGACTTATTGATCAAGAACATGTCATGCTCAAGAATCACTATGTTTGGGACAAAAAGTGCTCTAAAGGAACAAATGGCTAGATCTACAAGATAGAGTGATCAAGTTCTGAACTTTTTACCTTCAAGTGGTTGCTAGCAAGTGAGGAATCCCAGATCTAAGTTGCTTCAATGCTTCAAGGTTCTTGCACCAACTTCTCCTTCTTCAAGAACACCAAAAAGGGACAAATGAGCTCAAAACACTCTTCTCAATTAGGGTTTGCTAGAGGGTCGAAATCTCAGATGGGGGCTGATGAGAGAATGATAAATGAGGCTATAATTGTGTTTATATATGGACCAATCCCTAAAAATTAGGGTTTGGAGTTTCTCCACGTACGCCCAGCCTACCAGGGTCCGCCCTAGTACGATCAACGTACACAACGTACGCCCATCATGCTACCCCAATGTCCAAAGTTACCAAAATGCCACTATGGGCCATTTTGTACTCTTTCATAAACTCAGAGACTAAAATGAAATATTTATTCTTACATAGGGTTAAATAGAAAATAACTCAACATCGGGATGTTACAACACGCCTATTAATCTTCGAAACTAACTTGCAAACTTCTTCAAAAGACCAGTAAGGCTGCAATTCTAGTTTTTTCATGAATGTCATGGTTCAGTCCGCCAACATAACGGGACATAGTTTGTTCTGGTTTCTCCTGAATTCAACTCCTTAACAAAAGTTGCTTAAATTCATGAGTGTAGTCATCAATACTAAGATTACTTTGTTTGATACTGTTAATCTTGATGTAGAGATCTTGCTTGTATGAATTTGGAAGGAATCTTTTCTTGAGATGTCTCCAACACCAAATCTTAGACTTGCCACTTCGTTCTCTTTTAGCTTTCACGTTCTCCCACCATAATGAGGCATACTTCTTAAGTTTCAAAACAAGCAACATTGTAACTTTTTTCATCAGAATATCCCTTGACATCGAAAAGGTTCTCGATATCATTCAACCATTCAATAAAATCATATGAATTTGCTCCTCCATGTAACTCTGAAGCATCTGCTTTGACATATCTAAGATCATCTCTAAAACTTCTTCTATCATATTCATCCGAACTAGAATCATCAGAGTTGGTTGAATCATGTGAAACCCGAAATTTCTATCTTGTAAAAGTCAAACTTGGTCAACGAAAGGTCAAACTTATTTCTAACATTATCTTTATTGGATAAGGTGTCTAAGTCCATAACTATTTCTAGTATGTACTTGACCCGGTTTGGCATGGTCCATTTGGGTTGCATGGCATCATGATAATTGGATAGACAAAATGAGAAGAAGGACACTTATGATATGTTAATATATTATAAGTTATAATATATTAATATGAAATCATATTATTTAATTAGTATTGATCAAGAATTAATTTGGAATTAATTTTGTGATAAAAAAGAGACTAATTAAATATATGGGGTTGATTGTGTAAAGCATCCATTCTTATATAGTGGGCTAATGATCCATGGTTTATTGGATTGGGCTAAAACCCATAGGGATGGTCCATGGAGGTTAAAAACTATGGATCATGGAGGAAATGAAAAACCATGTTAATTAGGGTTTACATGGTGTAACCCTACTTGTGACACACTAAATAAAGACCCCATAGGCTAGCAAAATCGGCACTAAGTGAAGAACAAGGAGGCATCACATTTGGGGTGCTAGGCTCACAAAGTTCTTAAGGAATCCAAGCAACAAGAAATGTATGTTCTTCTACTAGCTTTTCTGTTTCAAGTTCCCCATGCCATGGTAGTTAGGTTAAGAACCTTGGAAAAATCAAATTTGCATGTATCATAGTAAAACATAGATCCAAGATTTCTAGGGTTGCATGTACACCATAGGAGTGTTAGAATGCACAAAACCCATCAGTGGTATCAGAGCCTAGGCTTGTTTTCTTGATATTTGATGCAAATTGTTGAAGAAAATCGAAAAATCTGCATTCTGCAGAGTGAACTCGCCGAGTCCATGGGGGGACTCGACGAGTCCATGCATATATTCATCCTACTCATCGAGTAGGTTCGTGCAATCGACGAGTAGGAGGCCCAGTTTGCAGTTTTTCGAGTTTTTAAGCTGGAATTGGACTAGAATCATTACACTAAACTGTTTTGGACTTATAAAACCTGTTTTTGATGTGGTAATGATTATGCTAATCCAATTTCAAAGGTTATTATCAAAATTTCAAGTTTTATATGTGTTTATATGATTCTTGAAAATGTTGATATGAATGTTCATACACTTATGAGTTTGGTAGATCATATGAATTATTTGCAAATTGTTTGTTAGTTTAATTCTTGATCTATATGTTTTTAATGGAGTCCATAATTTGTCCTCAAGTTATGGATTAGCAAAAGTCTTTTCTTTTAAAGCCCATTAAAGAACACATAGGTTGCATAAAATGAAGAGTCTTCATTTTAATAAACCATTAACTCATAAGTTATGAAGTTGAAAAGTTATGAATTGTTACAAAAGTTTCCCTCAAGTTTTGGAACATGTAAAGTCACTTTAGAAAACTTTAGTTCCAACCCCTAGAATTTTAAAAGTTAAAATTCAACCCTTATACTTTATAGTATTATAAGTTAATAATATATATATATATATATATATATATATATATATATATATATATATATATATATATATATATATAAGATCAAGTCTTTTTACCGTTAGTAGGCCTCATTCACGAAGCCGGTCTATAAGGGGGGTATAAGGTTGTTGCCTATAAAATGTCAACTTAATGGGTGTCCACTCTCACCCACCGCTTCCTTGACTGTGGAGGGTCGTTAGCCGAACGGGTAGGACAATGACTTTAATTCTCATTAAAAGTATAATGATTATTATAAAGTAACTAAATGTTTTTATAAATTCCCAATCTTAGTTACTTTAGGAAAATGTGAATTTGGTGCTAACCCATGAAATTACATTTTGCACCTTGCTTAAGTTGTTAGTGTAACGTGTGTGGTTAACCGGCACACTATCTTAGATTTAACAAGGTTAGTAAAGGGTGGCTTAAGGTTTATCATAGATCGGTGGAGCGTGTGTGGTTAACCGGCACATCGATTAGGTGATAAACATTAAGAGTACCAAGTTAATTTGCATGGTTATTCACACCTTGTTTTGTGATCCTCGGCATCCTAGTCACAAAACTTCAAGGGCACAATCGAGATTGAAACATGCCATTGAAAAGTTCAATGAATCTCAAAAGAATCTAGGAGTTTCAAAACCAATTAAAACCTAATAATACATTTCGTTTTCATGGTGGAAATTGGTGAATCGTCATTCACCTACCTTCAAATATCTTATAGCTTGGATTACGGAATCCCTCTTCTAAGTTATAAAATATTGTGTTGGGTCCTAGCCTTAATATTAAATTTGGGTGTCTTATTAAGGACTGTCTTTATATCTAATCTAAACTTGTCTTTCTTCCTTTTCAGATGTCTTCCAACAATGTTGTTTCTAGCTCAAACCCTACCAACTCCTTCTCTCTCATGAACCTTTGTGGGAGAGTCATCTTTCATGGGACTAACTTCAATGACTGGATTAGGAACATAAGGATGGTCACTCGCTATGAGGACATGGAATATGTCCTTGACAAGGAGCTGAAGGAACTTGATGAGTCT